GCAAGACATAGATGATCACGTACCTGATGACGAGCCTGCACCGGAACCAGCTCCACAAGAAGATCAAATGCCTCTATATTTTTGTTCGTGTTTGGAGATATTTGATTTACGGTATGCGTCCATGGATTCGCGCTTCACATTCATTGAGTCCCAGCTCTCTACCTTGGGAGCTCGACAACAAGATATGAATGATCGTTTGGATGCACTCACGCTTGAGATGAGAGCTCGTTACCCTCCTCCTCCTCTCGATACTTCGATGGATGAATAGACTCATCTTGCTTTGATTGTTTTTGGGTTTGAACTTGGATTTAAAATTGTTAAAACATTTTGGGTTGTCTTTCTTTGATTGTTGGATGTTTTTTTGATGGATATTTTAACTTTTATATATATTTTGGTTTGTTTCAATATATGCATCAGTTATTTTTTAGTTGAAATATGACCAATTTACCATTTCACATTTTATTATGAATATTGATTATGAACACTAATGGCTAACCTCTCTTTTGATATTTGATCTTAGCAGCTTAAGCTATATTCAATTAAAATGTTTAATCAATTGTTTTTCAAAGCCTTCAGTTTTTGAGTCTTTTTGATTTAACAAAAAGGGGAGAAATGTTAAGTGTTATAGTAAGGAGGAGTAATATTTCAAAATTAATTTCAAATTTTTACAAAATCTTAAATTAACACAAATGTTTTGTTATATCAAAAAGGGGGAGATTGTTGAAAACATTTTTGTTTCGATATAACAAATTAGTTTAAATGAATTTTAAGATTTTACAAATGATTTTCTAAAGTATATTCGATTCAATTAATCGAATATCAAATTATTACTCCAAGTCTTTTAAGATCAATTTCAAACCTTACTAAATGTGTAATATTGTGTTTTATACTTAATATATTTTTGAAACAATTTTCACAAAGTATTTTGAACCAAAATCAAGCCTAAAATCAATTTTTCAGAGTGATGCACCGATGCACCAATCCATGCATCGATGCACCATGAAATAAATTGAACATCGAATGAATTTCATGCATCGATGCACATACCATGCACCGATGCACTGAGGATTTTATGAAAACATCGAATGCATTTGATGCATCGATGCACTCTGACTATTTTGAAACATTGAATGCACTTGATGCATCGTGCACTCTTAGTGCACCGATGCACTAAGGATCCAACGGTCAAAATATTTGAATTTTACACTGATACAACGATGCACCATGGGTATGCATCGATGCACTGACGCTCCCAAATGCTTTAATTAATTGTTTTCACACTTAAATGGCTCTATTGACTCCACTAATCATCCCCAACGTTAAAAAATGATTCAAGGTGTATTTAAACAAGCTTAGAAGCCACTAATCAATAACAAGAAACATCAAGCAACTAGAATCAAGAGAGAATCAAAGAGAAAGCATCAAACCTCAAGTTTGAGCATTTCAAGCCTATTTTTTATTCAATATTTATTTTGCTTTCAAGAACACTTATTGTGCTCAATTGTATTTATTCTTGAGTGTTCTTTCTTTGTTCTAGAATTGTGCAAACATATTTGCCTTGAGAGGTTTTTCTTGTAAGTTTGCAAATTTGTAATCTTCTCTTTGAGAAAAGAGTGTTCTCAAGAATTGGGGTATATTCTTGAGGGAGTTGTAAGGTTATCTCTTTGGCCTTAAAAGAAAGAACAAGTTAGTGAATTTGTTGGAAAATCCTTAGTCTGGATAGCTAAGGTAGTGGACGTAGACTTTGGTTGATAAAGTAAAACCACTGTAAATCGCTGTGCAATTACTTTCAATTTTCTGCAAAAGCTTCCACCAAATTTTTATTGCCAATTCACCCCCTCTTGGCCGATTCCATCGATCGATTAACTCAACACAAGTCCATCTCTGCAATTCTAAATTCTAGACTCTATCTCTGTAATTCTATAAAACAAGTCCAATTCTGGACTCTATCTCCTTTCCTCCCCATCTTCCTCTGTTTCTCCAAACCATAGCCTTTTATAAAGCTGGATTGAAATTGATGCATTGAATACAGAAACTATATCTCCAGCCAGAATGCTTAACACCATGAGGAAACTACCATTAACTCCCTAGGTTTGAACCATGGCTTAATTTAATATTCTGAAATGCTTTCTCCTGTTTACCAGATTGTTCTCACTAAAAATAGAAGTGTCAATTATACACTTCAACTTGCCAGAAGAACAAAAACCACCTTCTACCTGATGAGTTGGTGATCTTTAGATCTCCTCCAAGATTATAAAATAAGAATGGTTATAAAACCAGGTATGAAGGAATAAAAGTTGGTTTCAAGCTGATAGGTCCTAGCAGTCACATGCACCAGAAATAACATCCTTGCAGCACCTCTAAGTGCCTCCAAGTCCATACAAAAGTAGTATGTTGATAACTGCAGCCACTCTTAACCATGCAGATTCTATGATCTCAAAAAACTATAAAAATTACAGGTTCAAATCAAAATCTTTATCATTTCTGTGTTTGAAGGTCCACCACTCTAAATCTAACCTCACTTTGTTCATTGTCTAGCTACTCCAGTAATTAAAAATGAACACATTAGACATGATTATCACATTTTCTACCATATTTTTTCCAAGACTTTAAAATAGAAATAAAAATAATAATAAAGAGAAAAGTACCCAAAAACTCAACGAAAAGAAGACATGCACTTATCCATCCAGAGATCGACTTCAAGAGCTCACATGTATTGGAGTTATATTAATCCTATGTCTATGCAGATGTATATACCTCAACAACAGTTGGGATGGATTCCATCTCGGGAATAGGTTGAAGTGCTAGTACAAAGAGAAATTCATCAGTGTCGACTTCATACCTAGTCAGTTGACAAACTGTAGTCATTAAACTTACTCTGGAGAAAATTGTCCTTTTTTGGACTAGTTAAATAGAAACATGCAAAGAATTGAGTAGAAATGAGAGTTGTTGTATTTATTATCTTTTGTCATAAATTAGATCCCTAAATTAAGTAGATTACATAATATGGTAGGATTGTTGTGAATGTATTTTATTAATTAGGATCCCTAACTTTAAGGAATTATATTTATTCCTAGAATCAATCACTTACTTAGTCTAGTAGTTTCCTAAAATAAGAGAGTAGTTTGTATATTTAACTGTGTAAGTTTCCTACATGAAACATATGAGAGAATTACAGAAAATTCCTGGTATTGACATGGTATCAGATCCTGTATAACTTTTCATTTTGGGTCTTGTATCATTGTTTAACAGTCATTTTTAGTCCTTATATTCCCTTTAAAGTGTAAGATATCTATCCAACAAAAATTTGGGTGATATAGCTGATTCTAGTAATACTGAATTTACTCAAGAAGGCACAATGAGTGAGGGAAGTCACCCTAATCTAATTAGTTACTTACAAAACATACAAGCCGCCTATAGATTGAATGGTAAGAACTATCTTAAGTGATCCCAATCAAAGAAAGTCTTCTGAGTCTTAACTCCTTTCTTCGCCCATTCAAAGAAATACCATTGTTTTCTTTATTTGAAATGATCCGATAGGACCTAATCTTTTTCCCATTATTATCTTGCCTATCTGGACAACTGTCCTCAGTTCCTACTTTGTTCCTGCCCATTTTTCCATCATCCAACAAAGCCTTATTCGTGTGACCCCAAAAGCATCCAACTCATCACTCATCGAGACTTCTAAACCGTTTCCCCTCGAGCCACCGACATCATTAACTTCATAATTATTCCCAAAATACCACCTGACAAATTTTCCTTGATTCATGTATCCACCCTGCCTTGAGAATCCGTGTTTGGCTGTTGACTTTCCTTCACCCTCTCACCATCTGTCTCATCACTCTGAAAACTTTCTGATAATTCATCTTCTCATTCATCATCTGAACCATCTTCTTCCTCCTTATCAACAATATCTGGGAAGAAATCCTCTACTACTTCCACCTTTATCTTTATCAAATATAGTCTCCCATTAGTTGTGATCGAAATTGAACTTGAAAATCAAATGGGCTCGCAATTCTCAGAAGCATTTGGGCAACACGACAATCTGCTTTCTTCAGTGTTCCTTCTTGTATCTTCACTAACGACCCCATCTATTCGCTAGATTGAAGAAAAAACCCTCACTCCAGCAATTGAGAGGCACACCAATTAGCGAAATATAGCAAAAGGCTAATAGAACCCCCTCCTGAGAAACATGAGATAACCAATCAAATCAAGAGTTTATAACTTTAATTTTCTTCTCCAAAGCTTACTTTCGATCATCCTCTGACGGGAACATGATTATATAAGCATTCTTAATGAATCCCGATCTGGCCACCTTGGGTTAATCCCATCATTATAAATGGCCTCTTAAACAAACCCCAATTCATTATTATGCTTACAGATACCGGTAAGAGATGCTTTTATCCAAACCCTTTCTTCAAATGGAATAAAAACATTCAACGGACCCTTCGAACCCCCTGGACCATCGTTAACCTTTTCTTGGTGACTCAAATTTCTTGTTCTATCTCCAACCACCGTATCTTATATGATCTCCCATCATAAAACTTATTGAAAATAGCCTTTCTTTCTTCAAAACGCTCAAAAGAATTGCTACTCCGACTCTTTATATCCCCCGATCTATTACTTCCAATCTTCTCTGATCTTGAGATTTCGGATATCTTGCAACTCCAACTGAGATTCTCTTTCCATCAACCATGGCATTGTTCAACTTCTAAACATCCTTGAGAAGATCTCCCTCACTTGCGAAATGGACAAAAGCAAAAGTAGTCACCTTGTACTTCGGTCTCTTATTCACACTAGGGATATAAACCTTTGTAACCTTTCCATGGTGATTGAACAGTTCTCATAAGGTTCTCCTATGAACATTTCTACTAAGATTATCAACAAAAGCAAACTAGATTGCTCCAGTGGGGAGCTTTCCGACTCTTTGTCTTCTAGACTCGCTCATCGCTCGTTTTGCTTTACATTTAAAATTACATTACCTAAACTTGACCACCAATAACAACAAATGAGAATCATGCTACTAGGAGATCCACAAGAAACCTAAAAATGACAGAGACAAGAGAATTACTCAATTCTTAAAACATAAATTATGAACTATAAATCCATTTAGACTCCAGAAGGGAACAAAAAAAGTTATATATTAAAGAAAATAGAGGCAACATAAACAACTTTTTAACTTGTGACATTTTAATTCAACAAAAGCAAGTTGTCTAAGATTGCGTGAACTTTTCAAATTTTAGATCTACTAAGAATTTAAACCATATTAGCAATGCTTTAAAAAAAAGCATATACAAGGTCTCTTGTGAAGCACAACGCAGTTTCAACCTTAAACATACTCATTCTCCAAGAATTACAACTAAGAATACTTTGGCACTAAAAAACATTGGTTTCCTTGTTCATTTATGTTAAACAGCCAATCTAAAATCTACTTGCAATAGGTGGGAGAGGCCTAACCTGAATATAAGAACATAAGAAAAACCACTTAACCTCACAAGGGGTGGAGAACGTCACATTATGTAAAAACATGAGGAATCAAGTAAATTTGAGAGCTTTGATACCATGTTAAGCATTCAACCTAACACGTATCCCACCTAACAATCCATAAACCATTTTTGACTAGGATAGGTACACAATTTAGAATCAATATTGCCTTCTAAGCATACTTAATTCATTACTAGTCAGAAAATATTAGTTTCTTAGTAAATTTAATACTATATAGCCAAACATTAAACTAAAATCTTAAATTGATAGGTTGAGGCAAACTGATATTGTAGATTGTAGCCTCATAAATTAGAATTTAATTTTTATTTACTTTGTATTCTGCTTCTTATCTGATTAAGAGATTAGGTAAGATAAGATTAAATAGAATTTTAATTAGATTAAGTTGACTCCTAATAGGACTCCAAGTTAGAGTTGTATACCAACTGTAAATCTGCCCATGGCCTAACCTATGTACTCATTTTCAATGAGAAAAATTACAGAGAATACAATCCCTTCCCTGTTCCAAACCGTCTTCTCTATTTTCTACAGATATTATGTCTCTTTACGCATCCCTTCACTTGCAAGCCCATTGAGATCTGCAAGTTGAAGTGTTCAAAGACAGGTCGTATGTTCACTTACAATTTGAAAATATTAAATGTTAACTTAGCAAGGGTTGCTAGGACAGAAACTCAACCATGATTTGATTCCATGATAGTTAATAGGCCTAAAGGCATACACAAAGAGACGACGGCAAAACTAGCATGTATTTCCAGAACTTCTTTGATCCCTGCCAAAGTTGCATGTCATTAATTTACTCTAAATGTAAGTTCATGCTTATTAAACATTTGTCATTTCCCTTCGCATACATAAAGAGATGACGGTAAAACCTCTAATCACTATCAAACATTTGTCATTTCCCTAGAGAACGGCCAACAATAATGCATTATTACCAAGTCCAGACAAAAGCCATAGACTAGTTAAAAAATGGAAGGAAAAAAAGGATGGTAAGTTTCACTAGCGTGGCAATATTTTTCTCCATTTGAATATTGAATAAATACAGTAACCGTGAAAAATTCCATCTAATATCCAGAACTGAAGGCAAGGACAAGTCTAAGTTAAGAGGAGTTGGTTTATTCAAGGAACTAGATATGCAGGCAAGTGGAAGGCTTCTAGCCGCCAAAGTCTGAAATAGACGTGGAAATAGGCCTTGGAACATCTTCGTTAATGTGTTGAGAAAATCTAATTGCATTAGTCGCAATAAGAAAAATGATGACATAGTTCCAGTGATCAGTATAGCTTGATGACCCAGCAGCTGCAATGATGACATTAAGAACATTAGGACATTAAAATATTCAGCTTATCCCCATCAACCTTAAGAAAAAGAATGACCATGCAACAAGGTTCTATAGGACTAATAATCATGAAGAAATAGTAGACAAAGTAAGTGAAAACTCATTATTTCCAATGGTGTAGCAAAATAAAGGTGCAATAATGCAAGTTCCTTTCCTACAAAATTCTACAGTTGATGAAGTGACTTGGGTCAAAAACTTGCTTTATGAAATGCAAGTTCCCTTGCAGCATGCTCCCATTATTTTTTTTATAAGAATAGGTCTTATTAAAAACCCCTTCATACATCTCGGCACACCACAAGGTAGCCAATCTGTAGCGGAAGGAAAAAGAGTACCTCATTTTTATTTGAAATTCAGAAAAACGGCATTACAAAAGTCCACCACATTAAATACATCAAGACTCATTCAAAAGTGGGGCGTAAATACATCAAACTGCCAACAGACCTCTACTCATCAACCCTCAGCAGCCACAAAACTCAACCCACTACCTTATTCCTTGTTTAGCTAGCCCATCAGCCCTAGCATTAGCACACCTACTAACATGACGAACAATGACAGAGTGTTCCTTGGCCCTAGCATGCTTCCATTATTAGTTGTGACAACATTGCCATCACTTATTTATGTGAGAAAAATATCTTTCACAATAGAACGAAGTACACCGCAGTGACATTTCATTATGTCGAGAACATTTTAAGCAAAAAAAGCATCAGGACACTCACATTCATGGTGCTGACAAGCTAGCTAAATACATTGACCAAGCCGCTTTCCAGGCCCCTTTGTTCAATATCCCTTCAAGTTAGGCACTGTCCCCACCACCTAGCTTGAGGGGGTTATATTGATGCACTTCATATGTACGTTGATGATTTCAACCATTGAGTTACTCATTTCTCTCATTTTAGACCGAGTTTTTAGCTTTTAGTTGTATGCTTTTTAAGTTGTTTCATATTTGAATAGTTCTTTTGAGTTTCAGGAGTGTTCTTTAGTTTTAGTTGTTTTACTCTTCTTATTGAAACACGGCTTTATCAATGAATAAGTGCATCGTGTTTTCAGATTCTCTTAAAGCTTTTATACATAAATAGGGTGGCAAGTCCGTCATTAATTTATTAAAGAATAAGGGGCTATGCTACTCTTGACTTTCCATTTTCCCTAAAGTCCCCAATAATGGATATGGGGATAATATGGCCTTCAAATACATGGAAAACTCAGAATAAATTGAACATTCACATGTCCAACACATTCTCATATCTGACACTCTCACTCAAGTTCAAGTAACATAACAATAAAAATTGTACCCAATCGATTCTTGACTAAGTTGCTTTACACCCAACTCATCTTGATCAGTTTTTCTTCTTTTTTACCTTTCATTTAGTGAGGAGGAAGACAATGATTTAATCAAAGCAAACTCATGTTATAGTAGCATATACCGACGAAGCTCCGATTACCTTCGTTTATCTTACATAATTTTTTACTCTGCTGCAGCATTCTGATTTTTATCTTTATCTTATTATCACTTGGATAGTAGCCACCTATAATTTTATCCCATCTAGATTCTAGATAACAAATTTCTCTAATCCAATCTGCTCTCTCATCTTGCTTCAATGCCATTTCATATTCATCCTTCCAATATTTGTTATCCGTCCAATTTCCAGCATTCCTACTACTTCATCAATGTCTACTAGAGACTTCCCTCTCCATAACCACCTACTAATTTCCCTAGATTCATCCTCGGATTTCTTCTTGTTCCTGTACCACTATAATTAAGCAGCAAAAAGGTCCTTACATCCTAGAAGGTGTCATTGTAGATAGAATTCAACAATTCAGTTCAGGACAGAGAGAGCATGTTAAACAAAAATTTCTATGCTAACCAGTATACCCAAGTACAACTACTTACATCTAAGAACTGTTCTATTGTTATCTCATATCTATATTCAAATGACATGTTTGCAACTATATTGGTCATATTACAGTCACTAACATGCGCACAAAATATTAGGCAGCATGAGTACAAAAAGTAGCTCAAACATGCTCTCCTCCAGAAACTAATGAAAGACCAAATGAAAAAACCAGCATATGGACACAGTACTCATGATAACAATCAATGTAGAAGATACTCAATGATAGGAAAAAGAAAATACACCATAAATAGAGGTCCTTTAAAAAATATTGAAAGAACATTTTTTTTTTTGATAAAAATGGGTGGTCTCGTTAAGAACTCCCTTCATAACCGTCAAGCTACGAAAATAGCTTAACGGACATTGGAAGGAAGAAAAGAGTGCCTCAAAATTTTATTACTTAAATACCAAGTACATCAAGAGTACGTTACAATCAACACAACTAGAATACATCCACAAAATGACCATAACATCTGCAGACAACACAACAAAAACCTATCCCTAACTTAGCAATAGTTGCCCCTCCTTACAAAATAACCTAGACATCCTATACACATCAGAACAGTAGGCTGCACTACAAACTAATGCCCAATTCCCGACTTTGCAAGCTCATCAGCCTTCCAATTACAACATCTCTGAACATGCCTTACAATTAAACTTTTATAACATCAAGAAAGAATGACAATATTATAACCTTTGGAATCAATGATTTAAGGCTTACCTGATAACTATTCTGTAGATCAATCCTTGAGAATTTGACATTTGAATTATTTGAAACATCCACTGCTTTTTGACAATCAACTTCCCATTTTCCTGGAGAGGGCAAGCTATCACATTCTTTTGGCACATGAAAATAAATTAAAAGAAGGACGAGGAGATTCTAAGTTCTAACATGCTATGTAAGGAAATAAACATGAGGCCAGTCCTCATAAATATGAAATCAAAAGAAACTTGAACAGCAACTATAAACCTGTCAAATACAAATTAATATATTTCTTTTTCATAACCCACTTCTTCTCAGCAGCTGTTTCAAAATTTTCCTATTTACCTATGAGATATAGTTTTGACAGTGTGATTGAAACAGTAAGAGTTCCGCCGTTAACATCATTATATAAAGATTAATAACTTGTTGATAAACTGAACAAAGGTATCGATTTAACAAACTCTTAGTGCAGGTGGCTAGAACTCACCTTCATTGCGCACAATGTTATGATCATTGTTAGGTGAACAAATTTTCCAACCATAGCTGCATAGCATTGATTTCTTGAGAGGAATAGTATTGTTTGAGCCTCTTACGCCTTGTGCTCTACAACAAAATTCTTCATATGCATAATCCAAACATCGATTTTATTTCACCCATGCATTGGAGCTCTCCTACATAGCGCTACATTAGATGAAATATTTTCTCTATGAAACCACAAACCATCCTTCGGAATGCATACAATATAATTGACTGATCGGGCAAAAAGGCAAAGGAACAAAGGAAAAGAAAAGGCAATCTTATCATACATCAGACAGTTCTAAGAAGGTGCAACAGTCAAAATATTGATGCCTTTTAAGCCCATTGATGTACCAACACTTTGTTGAACGCTCAATCATCTTGTTACAACTGTTGATGTTAGAACCCGTGATCTTTAAAAACAATAATGATTCTTTTAACCACTGAGATAAGTTGGTTCGTGCTAAAATATAAAAATAAATATAATTTAAAATGAATTTACTATTTTTTCAAAAAAAGTTTTGACAACTATTAATCATTAGCAATTTCTGAAAACTATTAATCATAAAGAATATAAAATCAAGGGCAATACATCCAACAATAAAAAGAAACATCACTGACAAAAAATGTGAACCAAATTTTTTTTTAGTGTACTAAATCGTTGCGTCCTTCATTGTAAAATATTTGTGAGCTAACATTATCAAAATTGTTCAAATACTTTTTAAAGAGGTTATAGTTGCAAACGTCCGATCATTATGATGACTATTTTTAATTTATTTTATTTGTAATTATTCTTTAAGGAGGGTGTATTCAAGGTTTCAGTTATAAAACTTTGAAAGAGTTGTAAGATACATCTTATCTTTAAAACTAAATAAATATAGTATATTTGAAAAAAAAATTAATATGAGTAATTAAGATAGTGAATGTAAACTTAATTTCGAAGTTAAACCACTCTAAATAAATTGTATATATATTTTAATTGTTTCCACCGAATTTTAAAGAGACAATTTACTCTTTCTTGATATTTTTCGATTGATCGATTGACCTAACAAATGCAATTAATATATTAAATGAAAATAAATAAAAACATTTTAAGTAATCTTATAGAATGATATTGGAGTAAATAATACAAATTAAAAATGGATGAGGGTAAATTTCGGCTTAAATAAAATTGTAAAGACGAAATTAAAATTAATATATAAATATATATAATACTTAACATATTATTCACTCTTTTTATTAAAATTAACCGATTAGAATGATCAAGTAACGCGGTCTAATTGATTGAATATTTTTCAAACCGAATTTAAAAATAGTACTGGAGGATTACATTTTTAAAGGTTAGGACCGTAAAAAAAATTAAAGAATAATTTGATGAAAAAGGATATACTTTGTTGGACAAACGGGCCTTAAATGTTTCTATTTTTAAAAAAGCTAATAATATGCAAGGTAAAAAATTGACATTTTTAATGAAGCAGAGGGACGTGTAAAGTAATTTGACGAGAAATGAAACCGATCTCATGCATATTATTTTACGCAGATAAATAATATAAAATGAATAAATTCCTTAAAAGCAAGGTTTTCATATTCCCTTTGGATCCAAGCTCCAAAGCCATCCATCCACCCCTCAAATAAAAAGAATAAAAGGGGGGGGGGGGGAGAACCTCATTCTTCACATAAAAAAGAAGAAAATAAACCCGTTTAAATTCATGTGAAAATGGGGAGATTTTGAAGTGGTCTGAAAAGGAAAAATAAGCTATATGTACATAATTTGTTGCTAGATTTTTGAAAAGCGGGTTTGGTTGGGTCGGGGTGGTAGTTGAGTGTGATGGTAAGAAATGGTGCTCGTAGTGCCGGCGGACCCACAGGCGGTGGTGGCGGTGAAGAAGAAGGCGCAGCCGTCTCGAAGTTGGGTCCTTCTCGATAGCACGGGAGAGACCACCCTGCTCGATGTCGACAAGTATGCCATCATGCACCGAGTTAACATCCATGCCCGAGATTTACGCATCCTCGACCCTCTCTTGTCTTACCCTTCCACCATTCTCGGTCGTGATGGAGCTATAGTCTTAAATTTGGAGGTTCCGTTTGTTAACCCTTTTTTGTTTTCTCAACAATTCTCTGAACTCTTTTTTAAAACTTTTTTTTTTGTGTTCTTTGATTTGCAGCACATCAAGGCAATTATTACTTCTGAGGAGGTTAGTGGGGTTTTCCCCTTTTGTCAATTCAGTTGAGTTATATATATATATAAGATGTTATTTCTGGAGTTCTTGATGATATTTGGGATTTGGGAGATGATGATGAAGTGCCTTTGAGTATGTGTGGCTTGATTGATTGGTTTTTGAGGTATTGCTTTTAATAGAACTTGTTTGTTTGTTTGTGTTGATGATTTTAGATATTGGATTTGTCTATTTTATTTCTTGGATCGGTTTTATAGAGTTGCTTGCTGCTATTGGATTTTGTTCCTTTAATGTGCGGAATGGGGTTTGTTTAGTTGGTTTTTAGTGAAAGGATTGGAGCTGAAGTGGATTAGAAATAAGGAGTGGTTCAGCCTTTTTTTCGAGTTAAAACATGAAAGGATTTTCTGGGGTTAGTTCATGATATTGAAGTTGAAGTAGGATGAATTTTCCTAATAATGCTTATGAAGTAAATAAATCAATCCAAAGGAACTTCAATTATGATTTTTGAAACTATAAATGAGTTCTTAAGTACGGAGTAGTATGTATTTTGATTTTGAATGAGATAATCTACTTGTCTTGTCAATTTGTGCTGCTTTAGGTGTTCATTGATTGAGGTTGCTGTCCTGTGTAGTTCATAAGCTCAATGATTATCTCTGAAAAGTTTAAGAGTGTTTTTAATTAGGATTTGTGTTGTCTGCTTTTTCAGAGAAATTTTTGTTGTATTTGAAATAGGTTTTACTTCGAGATCCATCAGATGAAAATGTTGTCCCTGTTGTTCAAGAACTTAAGAGGCATTTGCCTCCTGTGAATGCCATTCGCCAAGGTCAGGACTATACCAGCGGACAAAATGATGTTGAGGGTGACGAAGATGGTATGTGTTATTAATCGTGTCTGTTGAGCAGCTAGGTTGATGAAAAGCAGAAAACTCATTTGACATTTCACCAGATTCATCCTTAATATAACATCATAGTGTTTTGATTTTACTCTTTTGACGTCTAAACAATCTGGTACATGCCATGCAGAATCTCCATTTGAATTCCGAGTGTTGGAGGTTGCTTTGGAGTCTATTTGCAGTTTTCTAGCAGCACGAACACTAGAACTAGAGACTGCAGCTTATCCTGCTTTAGACGAGCTGACCTCCCAGGTAATTGTTGTTTCACGTTACCTTTATATTTTACAAATTTTGAATAGCTTTGTTTTCTGCCCGTCCTTCCTCTGCGCCCCTGTTCATGCTGTATTCTAATTTTTTATATATGCTGTATGCAGATTAGTAGTTGTAATTTGGATAGAGTTCGTAAATTGAAGAGTGGAATGACCAGATTGACTGCTCGGGTACAAAAGGTACAACTTCATTCATGCTGATATGTGTATGTGAAACTTTTTTTATCATATGCAGTTCTATCTCTACAGTACAACTACAGTTGTATTTAGTAATTCATTTTGAGCTTTTCACATTCGAGAAAGGATGATTATTAGATGGACTGTCGATGTATCTTTCTAAGGGATTGATGAGTTAAGCTATCGTCAACAATCAACATCATTAGCTCCTTACCTAAAACCAGACGGATTTGTATTGTTTACCATATGGATTCGTGACAATGTTTTATGTTTTATTTTTTAGAAAGATTAGTAGCAGGGCATAGAAACTCTTATATATAGAACATGAAACATTTGAGATAAACACCATTGTCCATTTCTAGGGTTCACTTTTTTACTGATGTCATCTTCCTGAAAGCCTCTATCTTCTAAATAGTCCATTAAGTTTCTTGCATATTTCAGATGGAGTTTTCCCATATTATAATGGAACCTGAATGTGTAAAGAAATTGTTTTAATAGTTACATTAGGTGGCAAGGTATGATGTTCTAATCATCGATTTTGTAGGTGAGGGATGAACTTGAACAACTACTGTATGATGATGATGATATGGCTGACCTTTACTTGTCGAGAGAGTTGGCTGGATCTTCACCTGTTAGTGGATCCGGTGCTGCCAATTGGTATCTTGCATCTCCTACCATAGGATCAAAAATTTCCAGAGCAAGTATGGCAACAGTTCGTGGAGACGAAAATGATGTGGAGGAGGTTGAAATGGTGATTTACTTCTCATGTTAAAAGATTTATCTACCAAAAAGGCTCAAGTTGGTAACAATTTGTTTTGCAGGCCTACTTTATGCAAATTGATGGAACATTGAACAAATTAACAACGGTACTCTTCACCTTGTACCCCTTTTTTCTTCTTATATTTAGCTTGTTTACCATTATTAAGAAATCCATGGATGGATTGGTTTGGACCTTTTTTTATTTTTTTTTCCAAAATCTATATTTCTAAGTTTTTTGCTGCTAACTTGAAATTATACAGTTGCGGGAATACATTGATGATACAGAGGATTACATCAATATTCAGGTAAAGCCATATTTTCTGTTAAACCTGTTGTGATGTGTACTATGATTTTCCCGGCTGAGTCGAGCTTATTTCATTTTGCAGCTTGACAACCATCGAAACCAGCTAATCCAGGTCTGTTGATCTTCTTTCTATAATGTATTCAAGTGATATTAGTTTAGCAGTTAGGGGTCTTTCTAAGTAGCTTTGACATTGTAACAATTGAAGGGATCCTAAAATTTTGCAGTTAGAACTGTTTCTAAGTTCGGGAACCGTGTGTTTATCCATATATTCTTTGGTGGCTGCAATCTTTGGGATGAACATTCCATATACATGGAATGATAACCATGGATACATGTTTAAATGGGTAAGCAAAGTGTTCCATGTGTTAAACTATTGTCATATCCAACTCCGCATCCATTCAATGATCGTTTGTTCGTATTTTTTTTATCTCATGTTTGTGATGAAAGGTGGTCATTGTCTCGGGGGTATTTTCTGCAATTGTGTTTGTACTAATAATGGCGTATGCTCG